CCCCCCCCCCCCCCCCCCAAACAAACACACACATCACGTCCATATTTTATTATTTTAATATATTGTAATGTATTATGAGTAATGTAGGAGGTATGTCTATTTCTTTCCGGGATCTTTGGAAAATCACCGTTTTATCCTTTATATTCGTCTATTACTATCAAATGAAATGTTAGTTATCTCTCTCGAGTCTTTGAAAAAAAGGGTAGTTTCGTGCTTGGAACAATTTTGTCGTCCAATTGCCTATCGAACACTCCGATATTAGAAATGTTATTGTCAAAGAGAGCATGTTGTAGGGGGCTTTCTACAGTTCATTAAAGTTGGCTAACTTCCAAATAGTCCCCACATATATAGGCCATAATCAAAGGCAAAACTGTCCAAAAGAACATGGAATGGCCATGCCCATTCATTTGAAGCTGGCTTTGTGTACATTTGCAATGAATTCTCCTGTTCATTGCACTTGTAACCCTTCAATTTTACTTTTGTTACTTAAGAAATAGTAGATACCAAATTTAATACCCACGTTGTCTAAGAACCTTAAGGACATGTTCAGTACATTGATGATAGACACCACAAATGCATAAATATTTGAGTTAAGTCATTTGTACCACATCCATTATTACTTGCTTTATACATGAATGATGTGGCAGATGGATGATGGTTGGATTAAATGCGTGAAATATGAAAAGTGGTGTAAATTTACTAAATTAGGGTTTAAAGAAATGTGTACATGTAGTCAGATTGTAAATATTTTATAGGATACCTAAAAGAATAAATTTAGATATACATTATTGTTGATATTAAGGATGAGATTCTTCAATGTCAAAATCTAATCAGTGATGTGAAATGATGTTATAAAAATTAGAATAATTCTATTTTACCAGAACTGCTCATTGCCAGAGGTTATACGGATTCTCTTATGGATGTGGGCTCCACCAGATTTAAATATTATTAAAAAAAGTGGGCTCCATATATTTGTGTCTTCCTTGGAAAAATTCGTATTTGTACCTGTAGCGTCATTCTAAAAATTAATGGCTATGATGGATGTCACGTCAAATAATGTGAAATTTAGCCTCCGTTTGGTAACCATTTTCCTACAAAAAATGCATTCTTTGTGTCAAATCACACCTTTTTTGTATCTCTTTCCAGCCA